AATACTATTAAAGAATTAAGATTTATAAAACTAGTAAAGAAATTCTTATATTTAATTACTTTTATAAATACTTTATTTATAAATAATAGAGATCTCTTTTCCTAAATTAGATATATTTTAGTTCTAGTAAATAGAACTAGATATACCAATATTATTTACTAGTTCTCTACTAAATATAAGAGAATTACTAAAAGTATTCTAGCTTTAGAATTCTATAATATAGCTTATAGCTTTAATATAAATACTTTAGTTAAATCTATAATTAATAAAATCCTAGAAATAGAATTATTACTAGTATTTTATATAAATTCGAAGTTATTTTATAAATGCCTTATTAAATTAGAAATTATTTAAAAGAAATATCTAATAATTAATATAATATATTTCTATTAAATATATAAATAATAAAGATTATAGAAATTAAATAAATTAAGGAAGAATTAAATTCTACTAATTCTATAATAAAATTAAAGCTAATAAATATCCTTAAATATCTAATTAATATAAATATAATATAATTAGATATAAAGAAATAAATTAAATATAAATAAAATAAGAAATAGATATATAAAAGAAAAAAATATTATAAAAGAAAAAATTATATATAAAAGGCTATAGCTTTTAATATATAACTAAAACCTTAAAAGTAATATAAATATATAAAAAATTTAAAAAATTTAATATTAGACCGAATTAGGAAATTAGTATATAATTAGAAAGAAATATTATTTTTTATATTTTTTAGAAAAATTCTAGTATTAGTATAATTATTTCTTTAGAAATTATATATATAATTATAAAACTCGAAATACGAAATATAAAATATAAAATATAGTTATATAATTTCGTATTTTATAAATAACTTAACTAATAAATTAGATTTCTTTAGGCTTAGTAAATTTAGGAATTAAATATTAATATTATAATACTATAATTCTTACTTTTAAATAATAATAATTTTATTAATCTTATATAAATAATAGTATTATATATTACTAGTAAACTAATAATTATATTAATTAATAAAATAAGTATTAATTATTTTATATAATATATATTTAGTACTAATAAAAGCTTATATAAAATATTCTTTATTAATTATTATTAATTATTATTAATATAAGAAAAAAAGCCTAATTATATTTTTTAAAAATTATTTTTAAGTTTATTAATTTAATTAAATATCTATATTTTTCTAATAATAACTTATATTAAAAGCTAGTTTTTTCTCGAATTAAATAAATTCAAGTTCTTTTTATTTTTATTTTTATTTTTATTTAAAATATTAATATTTTTTTTTCGAGCTACTTTTATTTTCTTTAAAGCTATTCTTAATATTTTTATATTTTTTGCTTTTATTTTTAGCTATTTTTTTCCCTTCTCTTTTCTTTATTTACTAGCTTAAAAAAAGAAGTTCGAATATAGCTTTATTTAATAGTTATATATAAAAGAATTATTTTAATTATATTAAAAATAGAATCTTTCTTTTTTTTATTAATTAATTTTATTTTAAAAAACCTAATTAGAAATACTTTTTAATTATTATTTTATATTATTTCTAATAAACTCTTATTTTATTAGCTAGATAAGTAAAATAGTTCTAAATAAAAAAAGGCTTTTAGGTTTTTTATTTAACTAGTTTAGATAATAGGCTCTTATATTTTTAACTTAGTTAGCTAATTATTAAATATTTATAACTAGAAGTAATATTTCTTATATAATTCTTTCTTATTTATTTTCATTATTCTTTTCTATAAATTTAATTATAATAATAGCTTTAAAATAATTTTTTTAATTTTAATTTATTATTTCTATTTCTTTATTTCTAGAATTATTTAATAAAAATTATTTAAGAATTTATCTAAAAGAATTAGTTTTTACTAAACCTGATTTAATTTTTCTAAAGTCTTTTATTATTTCTATAAGTTATAAAAAACTAGATCTATTTATTTAAATAGTTTTTTAATTACAAATTTCTTTTTTTTTCTAGATATATTTTAGTTATAAATATATATAACTTATTATTTCTTTAAATAAATATTTAAATCTATATTAAATTCCTTTTTTCTTTTTATTAATTCTTTTTTTATTAATTTCTAGCTTTATTTATAAAAGTTCTTTAAATTAAAAATATAGAACTGGATTATTTCTATTAAACTTATTAGAATTCGAGAAGTAGATCTTTAATTATTTTATAAAAAGAAATTAAAAGAATATATAAAAATATATTATATTTATTAATTAATTTAATTTATATAACTAGATTTACTATTAAGTTTACCTATTATATTACTAGCTCTAATAGTTATTAAAACTATATTATAAAGGCTTTTTATAATTATTAAAAAGCTTTATTTATTATTTTAGCTTTATATAATTATTTATTTATCTAATTAATTATTAAAAGTTTTATTTCTGTGATGTGTACAGGGTCGCACGTGACTTAAGGGCATGTGACGAACCTCGGATATCGCGGGTGTCGATCAGGGAGTTCGGCAGCCCTTCGATATCCCAACCAACCACTGTTTATATCATATGCATTAGGCTTATAAATCACTAATTGTATGTATGCCATCGGGGCCTCCTATTTAGAGGGGGCTTCCCTGGACCTCACAGGAGGGACAGAGATTAGTTCTGTACTGAATTTAACACGGTGGTTTCACAACACACTAATTCATTCTATTGTCTTATTGCCTACCAACAAACACCTCACAATTTCTAAATTTTTATATAATAGAAAAATCTAATAGTTTTCTTTTTTTAAATTAGAATTAGAAAAACCTAAATAATTTCTAATATTAACTAATTAAATTAATATTTTGGCTTCTATATATAATTTCGGATATTTTTTATTACTAGCTTTTATATACTTTAAAGTTTTATTAAAATATTAGCTTTATAAATAGTTTTAAATAAAATTTATTTTTAGTTTTATTTATTTTAAGCTTTGTTTTTTATATATAAATTTAGGTATTTTTTTTATTTCTGGCTTTATATATATATTTATAATTTCTAGTTAATAAAAATAAGAAAAAAAAATTCTAATATTATAAACTAGGCTTTTATATAAAGAAAACTAGTAGTTTAATTAATTAAATAGAATTCTTTAAAAAGAAAAAAATAAAAAACAAAAAAATAAAAAACAAAAAAATAAAAAACAAAAAAATAAAAAACAAAAAAATAAAAAACAAAAAAATAAAAAACAAAAAAATAAAAAATAAAAAATAGAAAAATTAAAAAATTAAAAAATTAAAAATAAAAAAAATTAAAAATTAAAAATTAAAAAAATTAAAAAATTAAAAATTAAAAAAATAAATAGAATTATATTTTTTAAAATATTCGAATTCTATTAATAATTTATAATTATTTTATTAATTTAGAGAAATATATTATATAATAAAAACTCTAGCCTTTATTATATAATTTAGTAAAGACTTTTAGTTAAATATATAAATTAGATCTTAATTTATTATATTATTAAATACTAATATTTTTATTTTTAAATATTATTTATTATAAATTTATTCGAATTTAAATAATTATATTAAATATATATCTTTATATTCTAAAAATAAATAATAAAAATATAATTATACTAGCTTTAACTTTAGCCTAAATTTTAATTTCTTTTTAAAAATAACTTTAATTCTAATACATAATATTATTATTAAAGCTTTCTTTTATTAAAAATATATTAAATATAGCTTTAAATAATAATTTTAGTAAAGATAAAAATATAAATAAGTAAAAAAAAATTATAATATATTTTTTAATAATTTAGACTTAGTTTATAATATTCTTTTCTATTATTATATTTAAATAATAAATTCTTTTATTTCTTAATTTCTATTTTATATATAATTTTTTTTCTTTTATAATAATACTTTAATTTCTTTATATTATTTAGTAATACTATTAAAATAATAAAGCAAATTAATAATAAGGCTAAAGTTAGAGAAATAAAGCTATATTAGAATAGAAAACTAAAAAAAATTAAAGAAAAACAAAATAAATCTAGAAATAAGCTTAATATATATTTATAGAATTGAATTCTTTTAAGCTTATATTATTTATAGTAATAAAAAGAAACTAAAGGCTCTTTTAAATATTATATAATTATAAAAGGCGAATTTAATAATATTTATATAAATTATAAATATAATAATAATAAAATCTATATTTTCTATTAATTTAATACTAATTTTACTAAGTTTAAAAAGCTTTATTCTATATTTATAAAACCTTTTATATTAAAGTTTTAATTATTTATAAGATATAGAAAGCAAGTATAAAAATAAATATAAGATTAGAAAATAAAGAAAAAGAAGGTTATAGTAAAAAAAAAAAGTAAAAATACTAGAAAAAAAGAGAATAAAAGAAATTTAAATAATTCGACTAATATAAATAATTCGAGTAATATAAATAATATAGAAAATATAAATAATAAAAGAGATATATCTTATTATTTATAGAACTTGCTTTATAAACTATATAAGCTAAAAGGGAATTAGAAATAGTTAAGAATAAAATATATATATTATATTTTAGGAAAATATTATAATAGAAATAAATATAAATACTAGTACTTATATTAATTATAAATAGCTTTATTTTAGCTACTTTTCTATAAGTTATATATATATACGAGTGTAATAATGGTTTATAAGAAAGGGGACCTCGGTTTTAGTAATATAGTAAGTAGGGTACTACTATTCCTAATAATTTTTGGTAGGTAAGGTATAGCATATACTAAAATTATAAAATTACTACCTTACGGGCGATTCTAGCCGTACTATAAGGTTAAAATAAATATAAAGTTGTCAGGATATCGAAAATACTATGGGACGTTATTATTTAATAGGATTTATAATTATAATAAATGGTTAATTAAAAATCGATTTTTTGGGTTGGGCGTATGGGGGTTTGAGCGGTTGGCTAGTGGATACTTCTATTGTGGAGGGGTAAATTTTGCGCAACAATAATCCTGCATCAGCAATATAATGGAAGATGACCGAGCGCAAGTTGATCTGGGCGTTGCCGTTGATGTCGAGGAGAGGGTAGAAGAAGAGGCCCAGAAGCTACCAAAGAGGAGGTCGTGGGGCGGAGGCAAGCAGCAGAAGCAGCGTCAAATGGCGAAGCAGATGGATCTGTCGAGAGCAAAGGCACAATCCAAGGTATGAGCTTCTCGTGATAGGCAGTATGATTCAGTCTCTCACTGACATTGGATAGTGTCCAAATTTCGGAGAACTCCTCGAACTCTCAATCAAGTCCCGCTCGAAATCCTAAATGACCCAGACATCAACGCCGCCATCGCACTCTTCCCTCTAAACTACTCCTTCGAGATCCACAAGACGATACACCGTATACAAACAAATGAGTCGAAAAAGGTCGCTCTGCAGATGCCGGAAGGACTGCTGCTGTTCGCCACTACCATTTTAGATATCCTCAACAATTCTGCACCGGAGTTGAGACGCTGATTATGGGCGATGTAATATACGGAGCATGTTGTATCGACGACTACACTGCGAGAGCGCTTGGATGTGATCTGCTGGTATATTATGCACACTCGTGTTTAATACTTGTCGATATCACTACTATCAAGACGCTGTACGTCTTTGTGGATATCAGCATCGATATTGCACATTTGCTGTCAACCTTGGAGAAGAACTTTCCTGTTGGAAAGTCGATTGCGATGGTTGGGATAATTCAGTTCAATGCCACATTATATGGAGTTCGAGCACCACTCGAGAAGGCAGGATACAATGCCTTGATACCTCAGATTGCTCCCTTGAGCAAAGGAGAGATACTTGGATGCACATTTCCGAGATTAGATTCCATAGAAGGCGTGGACATAATTCTATACCTAAGGGACGGACGGTTCCACCTCGAGAGCGCGATGATTCACAATCCCACGATCCCAGCGTATCGGTACGACCCATATTCCAGAAAACTTACTCGGGAGAGTTACGACCGCAAAGAGATGCATACACCGCTACGAGATGCCATCACATCTGTCAAGTTAGCAAAGAAGTGGGGTCTAATCTTGGGATCGCTCGGTCGACAAGGAAATCCACATACGATGACAATGATCGAGCAGAAACTTAAAGCTCAAGGCATTCTATACGTCAATCTTCTCTTGAGCGAGATATTCCCCGGGAAGCTGGCGATGATGGACGATGTTGAGTGCTGGGTTCAAGTGGCTTGTCCGAGACTGAGCATCGATTGGGGTTATGGTCCGCACCTGAAAGTGACGCTGATTCGGATTAGATATATAGCACCAGGATGAGAAAGTACTTTATCAGGTATGCTAACGGGACTGTCGTATGGCAGCAAGTCAACTACGAGGATTAGAGTGGGATTGAGTTCGGATTGAGTATAGTTGCTTCTAGAGTTTGCGGCTCTTTCAACAAGAGTAAAGAGGTTCGATCGTATCGGAGATAGAGCCACATTCGACAGTTGGAAAGATAAAGTGTATGACAAGCTACACAACAGTTTCGCTCAGTATCCGACAGACTACCATCAGATCGCATATGTCAAAAGCCGAACAGAAGGAGGAGCATACCAACAGATTCGAGCATAGTGTCAGCAAGGGCACGCTCGTGCTTTCCAAACGGCTGACGAAGTCCTCAACGCGCTCGAGAAAGTTTACAGAGATAGGAATAAAAGAGTCCGGGCCATTGACGAAATGCGTACATTGAAAAAGGGAAGAAGGCCCTTCGATGATTTCTATACAAACTTTGCCCGCTGTGTAGCGGAGATCGGATACGCCGACGATGCCTTAATCCCCCTGCTTGGAAACGCAATCTCTGACGAACTCGTGGGCAAGGTCATCGGGTTGCAGAAGCCTTCTGATTATTACGACCTGGTCGATTTTTATCGTGAGATCGACCACCAGATGCGAGAACACGACAGGAGAGTGTCCAGTCGCCTGAGAACATCCCGTTCTGCGCCTTCGACAGACCCAACGAAAACTTCAAGACCAACCCCCGGCGGAACCTTCAGGCTGGAGGGCTACCGACTGAATCCCGCAGAACGTGCATTGCTTGCTCAGCATGAACGTTGTTACAAGTGTGGCGAATACGGACATCGAATCGGTGATTGCACCAATCCGCAGATGAAGGAGATGCCGCGCCTCTCCGCTCGCTTGACGAGTAAATTGAACAAAGCCACCGTGGACTCAGACGATAATGGAACTGTTGTGGAGGGAAAAGAGTTGTCCTAGACCAAAATCGCGGCCTAGGACATAAGAACGGAGGAAAGTGGTCGATGACGATATCCGCTTGCTCAGTACGAGAAGAGAAAGTGAAGCTGGATGGCACTCATCTAGTTTTACCGTATTCTGTAGATACTGGCGGAGAGCGTGTCTCGACGACCTCTCTGGTAGATAGCGGAGCAAATGGAATTGCTTTTATTGACCAGACCTTCGTACGCAATCACAAACTTCCACTTTAACGATTACGCAAGCCCCGCCGACTGGAGGTGGTAGATGGCCGTCAATCAGCCGCTGGACGAATCACGCACCTTGTATAACTACCTATTGATATTCAAGGACACCGAGAAGTACTGCCTTGTTTTGTCACCAAACTCAGTCAACACCCGATTATTTTGGGAATACCATAGATGCAGATCCACGATCCCACCATTTCATGGTGGAAGAACACGCTCACTTTCTCCTCAAGTCATTGCAGCCAGACTTGTGGAGTCGAGCGACGTATCGAGGTACGAGGAATTCCTAGGGAAGGGAATTCCATCCAAGCACTCGACATTTGCATGATCGGAGCTGTCCCGTTCGTCCGGCTGGCGGACAGGGCAAGGAGAGCTTCCGAAGGATATACAGTTTTCGCTGTGACTTTACAAGACATCGAAAAAGCCCTTGCATCCAAAGTGACGATCGACCCTCGTGAGAAGCTTCCCAAGGAATACTATGAATTCTTGGACGTTTTCTCGAAGAAAGAGGCAGACAAGCTGCCCCCGCACCGCCCGTACGACCACAAGATACAGCTCAAGGAAGGAGCCGAACCACCATTCGGACCCATGTACGACATGTCAAGGGGGAAGCTGCTAGTCTTGCGCGAGTACTTGGAAGAGATGATTGTCGCTGAGGTGCAAATACGGCACGATACTTCTCGATGACTGCAGCCTTGAACCCTGGCTTACCATTTGCTCGATCATACTCGGGAGCATTGAAGATGAAGCCAGAGACAATGATTTTAGCTGCGATCTCTAGGGTGAAAATGACGAATAGTGCAAGTAAGGCAGGATCAATCGGCGACTCGCCCCACTGCGTCGGACGGGGGTGGGTATAAACACTTTGTGACGATTCGACGGTGAGCAGAACGGTCTGGACCACAATGAGGAGTAAGATAGCTGGTTCCGTGAGGGGATAAACCAAAAGGTCGCAAATCTTGTTTCTGATCCTGCTTTCCACAGAGAAAATGCCCAGACTTCTCCCCTTCAGAGGATTGGGTGGCTTTGATTCCTGTTCCCATGGGTCATCTTGTGCTTCGACGGGTACCTTGTCTCAGACTCGTCACCCAGACTAGAAATACCAGAGCTTGCAGTAGCTTCACCGCTCAAATTGACAACACGCTGTGACATCGCTCTCACTGTAGATCCAGCCCTCGAAAAGGCGCCTGCTGTTGAGGCTGATCGTGACCTTGTCCGACCCCCGTGTGGTGACAGTCTAGCCTCTGCATTCTGAAGATCGTCCCCCCAACCTAGAGCCCTTGTGCATCAGTGTTGGCGAGTCGAAGCCAACACTCTGAAAACTCGATCTCGATCTGTCGTGTCGCTGGCCACCAGGAGAAAGCTCTGTGCCACTGACGGGTTGCAGGTGGTGGGATCAGTCGGAGGTATCCTTTCGGACTCAGAAGGGAAGAACGAATTTTGGTCGTCTTCAGCATCACCATAAGGGGAGATACCATCAAAATCTCCAGACCCATACAGTATATACCTCCCGAATCCATATGATGTCCTCACTCTCGGGCCCTCCGATAGATAGATGTCAGGCACAATAAGGCCCGCAAATCCCATCGCAGCTTGGAAATCCGCGGGATCACCAACCGACGATATCAGTGTTCCATCCTTATCACCAGATGTTGGAGCATGCAGTGTCAATGGCGGCGCTCCCGCAGGTCGACTCGTTGCTCTCTCGCAGGATGGCTGGGAGACAGATCACCCAATCTTTCGTAATTATGTCTACTCGTAGCCGAGGACCACTGCTCAAGAGACTTCTGCCACGAGAATGCCGACGTCCAGCATCTCCTAGGTTCGCGGAATCGGGTGGTCGTGCCAAATCCTGCAAACGTATTGATTGACGGGGAGAGCAAACTTTGAATTCGATGCCGGATTGGAAACAGGAAGACTGTATTGCAAAGCTGGAACATAAATTCGGTAAGGTCAGCCTCTGAGAAATCGTAAATGGCCAAAGTCAGACTATGCGCGGGTAGAGTTCTACCGGTAGAAATCTACTACTAGGTGCGGATCCCGGGTTACAAACTGCATGGGCGCTCATCTTCGTGAACTGATTTCGTTGGTTGGATAACTGCTCTACTGTCCCTTACACTTTAAAGGACACTTTGTCACAAGTAAAGACTTGATTACTATTGAAATCCTTAGAGCCATGCTGCCGGCTATGCAAGTCATTAGTGTTTGAACATGGAATAGGAGCCTCCACTATCAGGAAAGACGATGTGTGGCCTTCATGGAAATCCGGGCCAGGAAATCCCATGCGCGATTCCGCTGTAACAACTTTCTAGCCTCTAATACCTCCGCACTAATCGGCTGGGAGGATTCCACCTCATGCTGTTTCTGGATCTTCTTCACGATTCGACACTCCCGTACCAGACCTTCAAATATCGGCTCAACCGTATCATAAATCATGGACGAAGATTCAACAAATGTACAACCAAGACGGTCCGCAAGGGCCTTTCCATCCTCCGATGTAACCTGTTGCTTCCGGGATGAAGGGTTTGTAATATCAGCCACTATCCAAACCGGCATTGACGGTCTGAAAGTGTTTGCCTCTCGGTAAAATTTGATTCCTTTATTATAGAACATCTTACAGACCAGGAGGATATCCATATTGACATTATTATGGTGTGGCTTGCGGTCTATGATCGGGTCGGGAGAAGTTAGGCACATGCGGAGAATCGAGAGTTGCAGCTCTGTAGGGAGACGTGGAAAACAGGTGCAGGCCTCTGCTGATTGGTCTGATGGATGCTTTGGTATGCGAAGCCTGACTCTCAGCTTTTGCGATAAGCTCATAAGGCCTTTTGTATGCCCAGCAGACAGCTGGCTCAGCTCTATTGAGCGCGCAACAATACCCGGGCTATTGCATGATACTCTAGGTTGAGGTTCGTGGCGCTTTCCTAGAATATCCATATAGAAGGACAGGACAAGATCGAAAGAATATCGGGAAGTGACGTCATAAAGTAAGATAAATGCATGGGCGTCACGAATATACTGGAATTTGAGTGTGCGGTACTCCCACGATGAATCCATCGTTGATTCGTATACCAGATACGGTTTCCCATCGACGACGATATGCTTCCGGAAGTCTGAGCTACTTTCAATAGTATGGTCTTCCGAGAAGACATGCCAGACAAACTACAAACAATTAGTGACTGATCGCTAGGTTTGTAGGGCATGGATGTACTTGGGTCCATAAAGCAGAGACTGCGCGTATCGACTCCCCCAGTACCAAGATTTTTATTTCCCCAACACGTGAGGGGCGCTCCATCTAAATTCCAACAGCACTAGGTAAAAGGGGAGTAGAAAATGGAAATGTAGAGAATTCTAGGGCACCCTGAATCGGTTGCCAACAGATGTATGCACGCAATGTTGTTGACCTCTATGCCTGTTTGGGGGTTGGTGTAGAAGTCGTGTTTATAGACGCAGAAAGGATGGAGTGCGGGTACGGATTGAAATGGTGACTATTAGCGCCTAGCTAAGGGAAATTAGCTCCGCACTAGTTTAGCTTCGCGCCATGTCGGAAGCGAGCCAATTATATAACACATGATATATCGTACCTCTTAACCAACATCCCTGTGTGGCGAAAGTCCTGTAGTATAACTAAATAATTAACTAAATCACAAATATCTTAGTATAAAGTAATAATATTTCATTTGTAATACTTTAGCCTTATATTTAATCTCTTATAATTCTAATTTAAACTGTGAGTTTTTTAAGAATTTATATAAAAATTTATTAATTATATTTTAATTATTAATTATTTTATATTATAATTTAGTTTAGAATAATAGTATTTCCTTTTCTAGTACTAGTTATATAATAATACTAGTTTTTGCTTAATTCGGTATTTTATATTATAAAAGAATATTATAATAAATTAAAACCCGATTTATATATTTAGCTAAAAGCTTTTACTAAATTATATAAGAAAGGCTAGAATCTTTATTATATAATATATTTTCTTGAATTAATAAAATAATTATATATTACTTAAATAGTTCAAATACTTTTTTAAAAAAAAACTTTTTTTAAAGAGTTTTATTTAATTAATTAAACTATTAGCTTTTTTTATATAAAAGTCTAGCTTATAATATTAGAATTTTTTATTTTTTATTTTTACTAATTAGAAATTATATATATATATATAAAGCTAGAAATAAAAAGTATCTGATTTATATATAAAAAATAAAACTTAAAATAAATAAAACTAGAAATAAACTTTATTTAAAATTATTTATAAAGCTAATACTTTAATAGAACTTTAAAATATATAAAAATTATATATAAGAAATACCTAAAATTATATATAAAAGCTAGAATACTAATCTAATTAATTAATACCAGAAATTATTTAAATTTCCCTAAGCCTAGCTCAAAATAAATTATTAGATTTTTTTATTATATAAAAATTTAAAAATAAAACTTCTAATAATTAATTAAATAAATAAATAAATAATTATATAAAATTGAAATAATAAATAAAGCCTTTAATTAATTATAGAAAGCTTTAATAATATAGTTCTAATAATTATTAGAACTAGCTATATAATAAATAAATTTAATAATAAATCTAGTTATATAAATTAAATTAATTAATAAATATATAATAATTCTAAATCTTTTATAAATATAAATATTTTTTCTATTTTATATATTTCTCTAATTTCTATTTATAAAATAACTAAAGGCCTGCTTTTTAAATTTTAATAAATTTAATAAAAATAACTTGGCCTTATATTTCTAGTTTAAAGATCTCTTATAAATAAAGCTAGAAATTAATAAAGAAATAATTATTGGTTTATTAATAATATATAATACTAATATATTAAAATTAATAAAATTATTATTATTTAGAAATGAGAATTATAATATTATAATATTAATATATAATTCCTAAATCTATTAAATTTAATATAAGATATTTATTAATAAATAATAAGATAATAGAATAAATTAGTAAATTATAAAACTATAATATTAAATTTAATATAGAACTAATTTCTATTTCTTTTATAAGATTTAGAGAAGCTTTCTCTAAATAGGAAGCCCTAATAATATATATATATATATAATTAGTAATTTATAATATAAATAGTAATTATTGGTTTACTAGTAATATATAGTACTATTATATAAGTATAGAAATACTAGTTGTATTAGTTAGTAAAGTTATTATTATTTAGAAGTAGGGATTATAGTATTATAGTATTAATATACAATCCCTAAATCTGCTAAGCCTAAAGGGGTCTAGTCTACTAGTCGAGTTACTAATAGAATGCGAGGTTATATAACTATATCCTATATCCCATATCTCATTACCCATATCCTATTACTCATATCCTATTACCCATATCCTATTACTCATATCCCGTATCCCGTATCCCATAACTATACACGTAACTCCCAAAGAAATAGCTATACTAATACTAGAAACTTTCTAAAAATGCGAAAAATAGTATCTCTCTCTAATTATATACAAATTCCCTAGTCCGGCCTAGTACCAGATTTCCCAAATACTTTATATATTCATATTACTTCTAAGGTTTTAATTATATACTAAAGGCCGCGGCCTTTTATATGTAACTTTTTCTTTTATAATATCCTCCTATCTTATATATCTATTTCCTATCCTATTTGTACTTGACCTATTCCTCTATATCTAATTATATAGTATTTATATTAATTAGGCACTTAAGGGCATTTATTAGCTTTAATTTTATTATAGAATTAGCAGGATTTAATTCTCTTTTAATCTATTTGACTTCTATAATCTCTTATTATTTATATGCCTAGTAGAGGCATATTATATTAATTATTAGACGCTTTTCTCGAGTAGTTCCTAATTTAATAAGGCATTTATATAATAACTTCAAATCCGTATAAACTACTAGTAATAGTTCTATTTCTAGTACTTTATTAATTATAAATTTAACTAAAGCGCCTATATTAAAGCTATAAGTCATACTATAGAGTTCTAAAGCTAGAATACTTCTAGTAACTCTCTTGTATTTAGTAAAGAACTAGTAAATAATATTAGTATATCTAGTTCCGTTTATTAGAACTAGAATATATCTGATTTAGGAAGAGAAATCTTTATTATTTATAAATAAAGTATTTATAAAAATAATTAAATATAAGAACTTCTTTACTAGCTTTATAAATCTTAGTTCTCTAGTAATATTCTTAATTTACTATTAAATATACTTATTAAGTACCTTTATATTAGTTTCCGAGAGTTTAATAGCCTGAGCCATAATTAATAGGTTATATAAAGCTTCTAATTAATAGACTAATATAATATATATTCCTCTAGTATATTAGGTAATATATTAGTTCTTAATAAAAAGATCTTAATAAATAGTACCTTTACTACTTATAGTAGTAGTATTCTTTATAGAAATAGTTCGGAGGTTTTTATACTAGTATTTCTATATAAGGGTAATTTTAGTAATATTTATATAAATAATACCTTTATTAAACTTGAGATTATAATTAATAGTAAGGTATTTATACTTCTTAGCCAAAAACTTAGTCTTTTAGAGCTTTAGTTACTTTGTTTTTATAAAATTATTAGTTCTAATAAATAGGGGATTATTAGTTTAAAGACTAATAATTCTAAAGGGTTACTTATTATAAAGAAGGCAAGGATTATAAATTAATTATTCTATAGAAAGCTCGTTAATATAGTAGGAATAATAAGTCTTAAACTAGTAATTCCTAGCTTCCGGTATATTATATAGTAGTTTTATAATCTTTAGAACTAAATTATTATTTAGATTTAGCTTTCTAGTAAGCTTATAAGGTAGATTAATATAAAAATTATAATTAAGTAAGGTTATTAATTAGATATAAGCTTGCGAGATATTATATAAATATAGCTCTATAATATCTATTATTATAATAGTAATACTAAGAATAATTCTCTAGCTAATATATTAAATAGTAAGTAATTATATTAATATTATATATTTCTTACTATTATTATAAGCCTAAATAACTAGTCTCGATTTCTTAAACTCTCTCTCTATATTCTTATTCTTAATCTTATTAATAAACCGGGAATTAAAAATATGTATTTCCTTTAGTACTTAAGATTTGAGAATAATCTTAAATATATTCTTTTCTAGGAAGCTAGTAACTTTAACTTAATAGAAGTTCTTATATAAGTTATTATTTTATAGAAATATTATAATATCCGGGTTCTTATAAGAGTATTCTCTACTATACTTTAATAAAATAGCAGGAATAGCAAGAGAAATTATATCTATATTACCTTTAGCCTTATTATAGAATTCGGGAACAGGTTTAGGTTTAGGGCTATTAGTAATAATCTTAATATCTCTTATATAAAAGGGCTTTATAAAGATTAAGTAAAAGGTAATATTACTATATAATAGAGCTAGTATATAGTTTTTCCCGTTAATGGCTACTAGCTTATATAGCCTATCCTAATTACTAGGTTAACTAGTATTTCCTTTATATTATATAAGAATATTCAAATTTAAGAGAAGTTCGTAAATATTAGTAATACTAGGATTATTTCAGGTATTTAGGGTATTTATAATCTGGTATCTAGTTTAAAGCTTCTGAATTTCTACTATTACTTTCTTAAATACTACTAATTATTATAATATAATTAGTAATAAAATATTATATTTAGTTATTTAAGGTAAAGTACTATAAACTAAGAAAGTTAGGATAATACTATTAGGTCTAGTAGAATTATTAATAGCCTTAAAAGCTATTTGAAATATAATATTCTTATTAATTCTATTAATTTTGGCTATAATAATAAAATAAATATATTAAATTAAGTTATAATAGTATTTTATAATTCTAACGGAACTATAAGCTTTTATAAGAATAATTTTAACCTTAGTTCCTATAGTATTTGCAAGCTAAGTAAACTTCTTACTAATAAACTGCTTTCTGGTATCTATTATAATCTAATTAGGAGGACCTAAATAGGTATTAATCTAATACTACTTTAGGGTATCCCAAGTATATAATATACTAATATTTTAAAGCTATTAGCCGGCTTAATATCTAGTACCTTTATTAATAATATAAAGTATAGGCTTACTAGAAATATAGAAAATATTAATAATAATAAAATAGTTAAAGCTAATATTATTTCTCAAGTTAAACTTAAATTATTCCGGTAATTATCCGAATTTCTAATATTATTTATAGTATTTCATAAAATATTTAAGGGCTTTTATATTAATATTATAGCCTACTTATTCTAGTATGTTTTAAAGCTTATTAATAAATAAATAACTAAAACGGTAATATAAATATTATAATTTAATTTCTATAAGAAAGCAGGAATTATAAATAAAGAATTCGGAAATAAAGCTTTATAAAGTAATATTCTAAAGCAGAAAAGAGTATCCAAAACATTATA